AGGGTGAAATCACACGGTGCGGAAAAAGACTGCGGAATAGAGAATGCGTCATTGGGCGCATTCAGCGGACTCAACAGTTGAGTGAGCGCTTGTTGTTATTAGTGTATTCTTTTAGCTCATCCAATCAGAATTTTAGATCTAGAAGAATACATCAAGAGCAGCGAGCGCTCACTCAACTGTTGAGTCTGCTGAATGCGCCCATTGAAGCAACCAATCAGCGCTATTCAGAATAGCTTTAGACAAAGACGAATAATCGTTTGTTCAACAAGCGCCGACAGATTGATTGTTCGTCTTTTCTATCTAACGGACTGAAAATCATAGACATAGCGAAGAATACAATCACAAAATCGTGGACATTACCGACGGGATCGTGGACATTCGCTACGTAGTTCAATGGATGCATTCAGTACTACAACCGCTCACGGAACGCTTGCATCTTATTGGCATATTCCGTTAGAACCAAAAATATAGACCAAACAGATACAAGAGTTCACTCAGTGAGCGGTCGTGGTACTGAATGCACCCAATGTCCACGTTTTGTGATAGAGGCGCTTCAAAATAAGGTTGCAGCTAAATTCCAGGCATGGCCGCTCTCGGTTTCTCTCTAGTAAAAAGCCGTTACCGATAAAAAATTTTTCATGCATGAATATGTATAAATATGCACAAACACGTATAAATATTCTTAAACATGTATAATTATATATGAAATATGTCCATACATATTTATACATCCCTTTTTCTTTTGTATAATTACTTTTTAGTGTAATAGAAATAATATTAGTAATGTGAAAACATTAAAAATAATTAAAGGGATAATTTTCGCATTGTTCGTTTAAAAAAAAAATAAGTTTGGAGAAATGAAAAAAAATTACTCATACACAATTATGCATAATTTTATATATAATTATACATAAGAAATTTTTTTATATTTCTTCAAACTTGATTTTTTCTAAAACAAGTATTGCGAAAATTATCCTTTTAATTATTTTTAATTGTTTTCACATTGATATTATTATTTCTATTATACTAAAAAGTAATTTTACAAGAGAAAAAAGGATGTATGGACATATTTCATATAAAATTACGTATGTCATGTATGTATATGGGTGCTATTTCATTTGAGAGTGTTTGTCGTACGACAAATGTGTACAGAACAGATAGGTCCTCGGATCTCTCTGTCCCATAGCCAATCAACAGGCTTGAAAAATTTGTCGTACGACAAAACATACAAATGAAATAGCACCCTATTTTTGGGCATTTCTGATTGGCTATCACTTTAGACGACTGCGGATCCACGGGAATGGACCCCTTGACCCTGTTGACCTATCTTTTTACGTCATAAGTTTGTTGTTGCGTTGCAAGCTCCAACATGCTCCAATATGCTCCTACTATAGCTCCTCACTCTATTAAGTGCGTTGGAGTGAATAAGAGCTATAGTAGGAGCATATTGGACATGGAAATGCGACGCGAACAAATCTCGTGTACTGCATACTGTGTATATCATGATTTGTTTGCGATTGTAAAGTTTCGTGAGTGTAAAGTTGTGAAAAGTTATGAAAAACATATGTGATGGAATTTCCCGGGAGCTATGCTGGCTATGCATCTTCAACCGCATCAAGTATTCAACAAGTTGAGTGATGATTACGTACATGGACGTTCGGGAGTTTGGGATGCCAGTCAGAAGTAAGAATTATTTATGTGTTAACTAGTTATATATAATTAGTTATATTCTATATATTTGAATGATACCAAATATATAGAATATAACGAACTAAACATTTATTCAATATAAAGATATATAAATTGAGAGGGATTGTTAACTCTACTTAGGCATCAACCCCATGTTAAAAATAATGATAAAATTAGTGAGTTTCATTTTAATTAAGTGTTTCAAAAAACTATTAAACATGACAAGTTGCACATAAAACAATACAATCAAACATGTTATTAGAAAAGTGAACATTTTTCAAGTCTTGTAAAGAATTATTTCTTCATTTGGAAGTAAGAAAAAGTAAATTCAGATGATGAAATTTCTTATATATGCGAATCAAAATGTGTATTGTTTTCAAAATATCTGAAATCTTGCACGGCTCGATTCAGAATCGTTTGTAGTGATTTTGCTTTCGATTGTAGTTGCACCGTTCGCGAGATATAGTTATTTAAACAATTGCACTAGATATTTTGAAAATTAAAAAAATTCATTTTTATACAATTGTTTAAATAACTATATCTCGCGAATGGTGCAACTACAAATGGAAATAATTTTATTACAATTCACTACAAACGAATTTCTATAAGAAACGATACTTAAAATTTATTAATTTCAAAGTCGGGGGATGACATTTTTTTAAGTCGCGATATCTTTGTTTCTGCGCTATTACAAACAAAGAAATAAATGTTACAACATTCAACTACATACGAAAATCTTTCGGAAAAAAAATTAAAAAAAAATATTTGTGCAAGTCGGGTGCCAAGTTCACAAAGCCCAATCATAATTATTTATTCTTCTCATATTGGAGTGTGATTGGTTTTCCTACGATTTAGGACCTTATGATTTCTATTGTAGACCCCATATAAGAGAGCGGCACATTTAAACATTAGGAACAAAAAATAGAAATGATTAGCGATCATGATAAGAGAGAGGTACTAATTTTTTCTTAAAATATCGAATAATTCATACTAATCCTTAAATAGATGTTTGTTACTTCTATTCAGGTAAAAAATACTTTTTCATTTTTGTGTAAATTCTTGTATAATAACTCTCTCTACATATAATAACATCTCTTGTACATTTGTAAGAGATTCGATATGAAAAAACAATTGGATGTTTTGGTTCTCGAAGTTACAAACATGAAAGTCTCTGTTTCAATAATTGGATCATTGATAATAAATTTGTATACACATCAGTATTATATTACTGGTATAAATATACATAGCAGTGATATATACATTTCTAATATATACACATCAGTGAAAGGGGGGGATGGGATAAACATTTTCGTTATTCATTCAATATGTATTTCGCGATACAGATACTCTTCATTTTATCAATAAATAAAAGCAGGGTTACGAGCCAATTAAATATTCTTTAAATTTTAATTGGCTCGCAGTTCTTTTATTTATTGATTTATTCTTATTGAGCCATATTATTAATTTATTCTTCATTTTGTATTATTATCTATACAATAATTTGAGCCGGTAGAAAAGGGAAGGTATTGTAGACGTACACAGGCCGATTAAACGCGAAAGAATTTGCGATCGCTAGAGCCGGATTCGTCGTCTCGAAATCGTCCTCGGATTGTTCGTTCGGCGCTGTCGTGGGTTCCCTGCTGCGAGGTGTTGTCGTGGTTTTTACAGTGGTGGTTCGTGGCCGCATGGTCGTGGTCGTGGTGAATAACGGGTCACGATAGCTAGCTGCGGTATCTGGAGGTTCGTAGCTTTGTAATCCCGGTGCATCGTAATACGCATGCAATCGATTGTTATAGGGATTAAAATGCCGGCCATTAGGACGCCAACCTCTGGGCTTATACCCTGATAAATCTGATGTCACCGCTAGTCCGATATAAAGGAAGATGAGGATGAGCTGAAAAAAAATACAGAGAATCGATTTAGTTTAAATAAAAAGAGACGATGTGACATGCACTCGAATGGTCGAACCGTTATTTCCATTCGTTTGTCCAATGTCCGCTTATTTATTTCACGAATATCGAAAGTTGTTTCTTTTTAACAATGTTCATCATCTAAAGTAAATTCATTTATTTAAGGCACACATTATATGTATTTTAAATGAATGAAAAATAGAATAAGTATTTAAATTATAATCTTTTTATACAGAAGTTTAACACGATTTAGTTTAGCAAATAGAATGCAATGTATTTAGTAAAATTTATGTAAATTTAAAAACTTGTAAATAACATTTCATCAGTTACAGAGAACGTTTTGTTCATGACGAAAAGCAATTATCTATATATGTATCTCGCCGTTTCGCCAGCAGCGGATCAGAACTCTTGGCAAAAGCACTTGCGCACTGTTATTGCGTTACTATCATTATCCGGGGGGCGATCATATTGTTCACGATGTTCCTTGGTGTGCCAGATCCGCAGTTTAACGAGGCCATTAACAGTTTCTTCGGTAATGAGAGAAATACATGCGTCGAATATCTTTGCGGGAA